CATCTAGGAAAAACTGAGGATCACCATGCGTCTGTTGAGTTTTCCTTCTGTAGGGTGTTTGATACGCCCGAGTACTGGGTGGAAGGCATCCCCGGCCGGGCAGCTCGCCCATCCGACGCGCTCCCTTGCCAAGGCGGCAAGCGCGCGTAGTCAGACAGACTCTCGCAAAGCATCGATGAGCATCCAGTTCTGGTGCCACTCGCTCAAGGATTCATGAAGATTCAGGGAGATGAAATCAGCCTCGGCCTCCTCCCCGGCCAAGCAAATGATCACGCAACCTGAAGTCTGATTCCCATGATTCCCATGATTCCGATGTGTTGAAAAGAAATGGCGAAAGAGCTCCAGGGACGGTCTCACTCCCATGAACCCCTCGCACAATTGGGAAAAATCGCCAGGACCAGCCCGGAGTTGGGATGAAGATGGAGGACAAGGATTTGGAAATACTCCAGAACTGCCATAAAGAAGTGCGAAAAGGGGCGAACTAAACCGGCAGCAAGGAAGTTGAGAAAAATGGGAATCACGGTGCTACTCTCCATTGCATTGCTCGCCGGAAGGAGCTCCGTCAGACCCGATGAGTGGTTCGCACCTCCAACCAAGAATCTAAACTTCCACAGGCTCCGGTCGTCGGAAAATGTGGACTCAAGCAGAACCGGTGGAAGCTCCCATCGGGTTACTCCCTTGTCCCTCTCTCCCATTTTCGCCTCTCGCGCCGGATCGTTGGGTACCTAAGCTAAAGAGGAGGCTTCGCCGGGAAAGATTCAAGCAACAACGGAAGAGCAGGGAAGGAGGAAGATGGTCGGCTCGACACCGTTTCAATCTCTCTCCCTTATAACCAAAGGAACTGATAGGAAGGCAACTGCTCGCCCAGGGGTGTGACTACCCATGATCTCTGAAGAATAATGAGAGCGGCATGGAAGTCAAGAAGGCAGCCTCTTCTTTTGCAGGGTAATCGATTACGCCTATGCTTGCATGCCAGGAGCCAAGGCTGATACTGATAGTCCCCATGAGAAGGCCCAGGCTACCACATGTCATATCCCTGGGATCGCTTGGCCCCATCCCCCTCTTTGTTGCCACCATTGGGCGAGAGGGAGGTGGGCTCGGGGGCTACTGTCGACGTAAATAAAACCAGGGTAATAAAAATTGGGTGTAGTGGGCCTAAAAAACAAAACGGTCCATATGTTTTCATGTACGAGAAGAGAAACTCTGGAAGACTCCATGATATCCGGTGGACCTTGCCCTATGGCTGTGCGAAGCGCCCCGAGAAGATGATATCAGCTTGACTCCCGAGATTGCATTGCGGGACCCTCCCGGGAGGGCGCACCGACACGCCCGTGAGGCGAAAACCTCGTCCCCAAGGAAGACGAGCGGCGTCCCATACCCGAAGGATGGCTACTAGTGCTAGGTAATAGGCTAAGGGTGTACGGCCAGGCCTCACGCTCGTGCCCTGGAGGGATCCGTATGAACCAAGTCATCCGCAACGGTCATAATTAGATTCGTCCGTTGCCCACGACACAAAAGTGGCGGTACTTCACCGCCGCCCGACAAATACCGAAGGAGACTATTAAGTGTTCGGGGGGTAACACGCTGCCCTAGAAGGACATCATCATCACTCATACAAGCATGTCATGGGCAACCATGCCACAGAAGTACAGGCTACGCAAGCCTACTCCAATGTATATTCAACCAATCATAACCTCCGGCAAGGCCTCCTTCAACGTTGTAAATAGCGGAGACCCAAGCCTAGCACAAGGGTCGATCTTTTTGGCCTTAGACAGAGGCTGATCTTCTCATTTGGTAGCAGGCACATTGTAGCTCCATATCATTGTGATACAAAACAAAGCAGGAGTATGGTATTACACCAAGAAGGTGGCCCGAACCTTTTGTTCATTTGTAGTTCATCCACCATATTCATCCATGACTTAGGATCGCTGGACGCGTTCAGTCCCTGGCCGAACTCTCAAAGGGTTGTTGCTCACAACTCATGTGCAGGTTCTTAGAAACCGATAGCGAGTGCTTCAGCCCCGCAACCAGCAGCGAGGAGTGGCAGCAGCTCGTGGCCGTCGCTCCGTCAAGGAGGACGCCACCAATGACTGCGCTTACCTCAAGGAGCTGTCGGATTTAGATGAGGAGGACGAGGACAACTAGATGGTGGCAGCACTGAGTAGTGGTAGTATAGCAACACCTATTTTGAAGATGTCGCTTAATGACATTTAAAGTCGCAATAAATATGTAAATGCGACAAATTTTAGCCACTGATATAATTTCTAGTTCAGTTATCTTTGATGATGTTTATGCACTATTTTGGTTGGATTAAATGGCGTTTAAACTGAATAAAATTTTGAACCAAGTAAAGGAGAAAATATGGAAGTTGCCATCTGGCAATTTTGTGTTTGCACATAGGCCGCGCAACCTTCAGAGCATTATGGAACACGCTCCATATGGTGGATGGCGATCCAAATTTTGGCAACGACTAAAATTGCTCTAAATCGACTTCTTTAGCATCAACGACTTTAGCTAGGGATAAATGTCCTCACATCATCGTTGTCGTATCCAGCCAGACAAGGATTTTCATTTTGGTTGCCGAGAACGGCCAATGAAGACTAGTATGAGTATGCCATTGATTAGACAAAGCTTTCAACAAGATAATAGATGCAAGTAGATCGTTGTTGAGCCCGGTCAATAAAGAATAGAACAAGAGTTTTCACTTGGACATGAAGCAATGTTCGAGTCAGCATCTTTAAGATGGAACGTCTTCCCACCTAAGTCCATCGGCACGCCCGTTAGGGAGATGCCCATGTCTCAGTGGGGATCTGCTCGCTGCCACCCTACATTGGCACCAGGGACATTAGAACATCCACCATATCGTCGAAGTCGCTGCCCTGGTGGCAGATGCCTTCATCAGCATTGGACGCTACGCTGATGCCACAAACCTCCTCATGTGATGCCCGTTACCCTCGAACGAGACAAAAGTTTCCTTGCGTCACTAGCAAGCGCCCACAGCGCGACGCACAACCACTGTCGTCATGCCTGCACATTCGTTGATGCACTTAGAGATGCGCCGCCGCGTCTCTTAATCGTTTTGTCACGGTCGTCAAGGGTTGCAAGCCCCGCCGCAATGACCCGTAGAGGCCGCCGCCGCCACCATCACTAGTCCTCACAGGGATCCGGCCAACGCCGCCGATGCCGCTGAGACGTGCAGAACCGGTTGCCCAAAATACATGTCAATTGGTTTCCATGGCAGGAGCTCAAAGGCAACGTTTATTTTGGAGAAACTTAATTCCAAACATCACTGTTTGCCAAAAATATACCAAACCAGGCATAGAGAGCAATCACACAAAAGGTTTCCATTTCCTGCTAAAAGAGATCTGGCAAAGATCAAAACCTTTCAACATCACAATGCCCACGCCACCGTTTCAGGCTGACCGGTAGGTCCATCCGGTAGAGCTTTGTGACGCACCCCTCCCATCCTTTCCCCTCCTGGAGCTGTTCCTGCGGGGCCCGCACTCCCCTGCCCCGCTGCACCATTCCCGATTTTCTACTTCATAAATGAGGCCCCAGCCTTTTCCCCCTCTCTCTATCTCTTCACGCCTCCCCGGTTTCTCTCTCCTCACACGGAGCAAACAAGAAACTGAAGGAGCGCAATGGCAACGCCAACGGGCTGCAGCCACAGCCGAGAGCCATCGCGGCGTTGCGTCACACGGGGTACATGTGGGGGTGGGGGGGTGGGGGGCGAAGGTTCGGCGCCAGGCGGGGCCTCGCGTTGCTGCTGCACTGGCTCATTACGCAGCACATCGCTGCTGCCAGGTCGCGACGAGCGCGCAGCCCAGAGAGAGAAAAACAGCCAGCGGCGCTCTCGCAGGCAGAGAGGAGAGAGATAGGGGGGATTGACTCGCCAATGTAACGCTTCCTGTCTATCTCTTGTCCTGTTGCTCGCTTTTGCGGAGGGGCGGAGCGGAGAGGGGGTCTCCGCGCGGCTTTGCTCTGTCTTTCCAACCAAGCCTGCTTCGTCTCTTACCCTCTCCTGTTCTTGGTCTCGGCGCTGGAACGGGATTGCTTTTCGGTGCGCCTGCGAAGGTGCGATCTCTGTCCTCGGTTCTTGGTCCGCCGATTGCCTCCTCCTCGTCTCCGGGGGTTCGAGTGAGGCGTACTGACTGACTCTTGTTCGTGTGGTTGTGGCGTGTTGCCAGGACGAAGCGGACTGCTCTGGTTCCGAGGCGAAGTTTGGCTGACACCCACTTGGTTTAGGCCAAGGTGAGTGTTCGTCCATGGAGCTCGATTTCGCAGCTTCCGCCTCTCTCTGTACTTTTGTCTCCCAGATGTTTTCTGTGGCTTTGAAGTTCTCTTTGCCGATAAATTAATCAATCATTGTGCGCGTGCAGTCTCGAACCGTGTAGGTTAGTCCGAATCGATGGGTTGTAATGATGATATTGCCGTGCCAAAATAGGCGACTTTTTATGTGCGAATAGTATTTTATTTTCTTCCTCACAAAGTGCCTTTGTGGATTTGTGTTCTTGTAAACGTGTTCTTTTCTCCATCGATTAGAGTTTTCTGTTGCATGGTGAATTCCTGAATGCAGAAAAATCTGAATTGCATTACTTGGTGGGCACAATCGTTGCTTACATGTAAAATAGGCGAGTTTTTATGTCATTTATTTTCTACCTCACAAAGTGCTGTTGTTGTTTTTGATCTTGAAAAAAAAAAGGATGTTCTTTCTTTTGATCGATTAGAGTTTCCTGTTACATGGTGCCTGAGTATTGTTTTCATTTCGTTACTTGTGGGCACGATCCTTGCTTACCCGTGCCTTGAAACTCTGATTTTCAAACCTCCCCTGTTTTTTTTAATTACTGAATGCAGTAAAATTCTACAACTTCACTCAACATGCATAGGTGGTAATTTTCAACCAACATGCCTTGTACGAATGCAAATGATTAGTTCCTCTGTCAGCCATGATGGATTCCATGCCAATCATAACTTGTCTTCGTTGTTACAGGAAGTGAAGCATGGGTACAACTGCCTCCAAGCAAGACCGCAACACCGCATTGCAGCTCTGCAAGGGTCGTCTGAAACACATTGAACAAGCAATCGATGCAAGGTATGCCCTTTCGGCTGCTCATCTGTCGTACGAGCAGTCTCTGCGCAATGTCGGCGTTGCTTTGAGGCAGTTTGTGGAGTCACACCATGAGGGTGATCCGGACAAGTCCCCTCGCTCTTCGTCTGCTTTACCATCCCCATTGCCACCTGCAGACAATTCTAAAATTTCACTACTGAAAGTGCCCCGCCATTCTGATATTAGTCGCTTGAGGTCAGAAGTAAGCCCATCCTTGACAGTGACAGTCAACCCAAGTGATGGTGATGCTAGTTTTATCAAAAAAGGGCAGCCCATTCCGACTTCGGTTTCACCACCGTTGTCTCCGGAATTTTGCCCCCCATGGGATTTCTTTGAACCAAATGATGTGAGTGAAAATGTTGCTACCCATGTCTCAGAGAACTGCGAGGCAACTTTGGATGATTTTGGTCATGCCGATGGAAGGGATCAAGCTTCCTCGATCAAAAACACTAGTCAAATAGCTGAGGTGCAAGAACAGTTGGGAACACATGGATGTAAAGACCTCGATGACAATTTTGAACATCTTAAGTCAAATCGCAATGACTGTAATGAAATTGAGATTGCTGATACAGACTTACCAAATGACTCAAGCTTACACAAAGAACCTGATCAAGTGCAGACACAGAATGTGGAGGGGCAAAATCCTACACGTACTACTGACAAAAGAAAAATTGAAGCCCACTCTGTAGACAAGGTTAATGTACCAAAAATATCTACTGAAAGGGAAGAAGAAAGGGGCAGTTCCATCACCAGCGTATCAAAAGATTTTCTGTCTGATGTGAAAGAACTCGAGCGCCAATTTGCTCGGGCAGCTGAGTGTTGCCATGGGGTCTCAAGGATGCTTGAGACAAGGAAGATTCGACTAAGCTTTTCTACCAAGATAACAGGTGAGGAATACATTTTTCACAGTTAGATAGTTCTCTTAAACTTCTATGGTTATACTTGCTTAATATCAATGCTAATTATTGCAGGGAAACCATCATGTGCACTTTCTCTGTCAGCATCCTTGCTCTGCTGCAATGCTGGAAATGTAGCTTCCCATGGTATAATTACTATTCATATCAAATACATTAATATGTGAAGTTTGTACTCTAAACAATAACAGCCTCGTTTGGATGGATATTTTACTCTAACTGTTTTACTGCAGAATCAGAGCAGCATGTCACAAAAGTGATCGCTTGGAATCGCTCACTTTCATCACGATCTTCATCATATAAGAATCCACTATTTTCAGCTCAAAAGGATGATGACCCTCCAGAAAGCATTAGCGATTTTGTTGAAGAGTTTTGTATGATTTCAGGAAGTCATGCATCCTCTTTAGATAGACTCTATGCTTGGGAAATAAAGATTTATCATGAGTTAAAGGTGAGCCAACATGTGTTGTTCAACAGATGCTTATAGGATTAACTACACTGAAAATGGAACTTTTGCGTTATCAGTATAGAATCATGAGGTTGTGCTTGTCCTGTGTTTTCCAGTAGACCTGTAGCATATAGAGCTGATCAAACTGTTTTTATTTTATGCCATCTATCCAGTTGTGCATTGACCTATTTGTAGGTGTAACCACTACTTTAGTAATATGAAGCTATCTTGTCTTAAGCAGAGTTGTAATGACGCTACAAATGTATATTTAGAAATTATGTGGACACGTTTTTGATATGTATGCTATTGTGTGTCACATGTTAATCTTCTAGATAGGAAACCATATATGGCATCTAACATAATTACACCATTGCTGTATTATGGACAAAACCAATATATTTTTCTAGTGAGCTCTCAAGCATTTTCTGGACTTAGATAGTCTTTATTGTAATGTGATGTCTCCTTTTGCATCTGGGCTAAATGTTGTGTAGCTAAACAAAAGTATTTCCTGCAACTCACATGCTCGAAAGGAGTTCTTCCCATTTACTTGGAGATCCTCTTTGCACGATGAGCTATCGTTATGATCCTATGATCACGCCGAGAGACACTACACCTACGGGCAATTTTGTACGGGATTAAAGTTGCGGCGTGAGGTGTCAAGATATAGTTGGAAATCAGGGGGCGGGAGGGTCCACAGTGAAAATCAGGGGGCGGGAGGGTCCACAGTGAAAATCAGGGGGGTAGAGATTAGCGCGGAGATGGGTCCGTATGTTGTTTTCTGTAGGTGTTTTAGCCAACTCTAGCATTTTGGATCATGCCTAGGGGACATTTGTGTCTCAAAAATGAAAGCTTTACTTCTGTTGTCCTTATTTTCCAGCAATCTTTTTTGACATATTTTCCAGTAAGTTAGCTTACAGGAATTATGAAGTTGTAAGTGGTGATTATATTACCTCAACCATAGACAGTAAAGTTTGAATTATCACACGTTAATGCATTTCTCTATAGTGATGAATTCTATTTGAAAACAAAACAGAGTATGGTCTTACAAATATTTTTTTCAAACCATCCGGCAGACTTAGATCGCTCATGCCCATCTCACGTCCAACACAATAGGAACTTCCAAGGATTTTCCAAATGAATAGTTGCCTTTTGTGGTTGAGTCGAAGTTAACGTCCATGGCTACACAAGTGTCACCAAATTTGTGTTAATGTTTGATTTAATATTGAATAAACAATAATTGCATGATGCTCAGGGTATATTGTTCCTACTATACCGGTCTCTGCTGTGCCATTTGACAATTAAAGTTGCACTCTGAGTATTAGTAATACTAGATAGCATGAAATCTAACATATACGCTTGGTACTTCACGTCTATTCCTCCTATCTAGAATTCTTAACATCTTGGTGCTATTTAACAAGTGTACATAAAAATAGGTTCAAAACAAAATAATGTACAGGTTGCAAGAATCATAATTCAATTCTTAAAAACATGTTAAACAGAACCTCCCCTAGTATGCCCATGGTGTTGGTAGAAACAATCAGCTCAGAATTATCATTTTGTGTAATTGTGTACAAACCAATGTCACCATGAATGTCATATGTCTGGGTCGCTGTTTGTTTGTACGCAGCATTTCCTCCCAAAAAATTATAGGGGAACCCATACCCTTCTCAGCAAATTGGCTCGCAGTAGAACAAAATTGGTAACTGTGCTACATATGCTTTTAACATAAGAACTACAGTTATATTCTACCTACCTACTAGTGGATTAGGCCATTTATTCCCACATTAGGTAGTTTTATTTTTACTTTGCAGGTTATGAATTTGTGCATTAAGTTTCTAAAAGCACAGGACATATTTTGGTAACCAATAGGCTATTTTAGCGACACCTTTTTGTGGCTGTATCCATGATTTTTTTTAATGTAGAGCTGTTTCTCTTTTTGGACTTGCCTATAATTTGTTGGTTGCTGCATTTTCCTCGTGTTTGTCGTTGCGTTCTTTTGCAATAACCTTTCACTTTGTTGATGCCCGCTACACGCCAAATAAAAGAATACTTTCATCATGTGGTCGGTGAATAAGCCAATAGTATTAGCATGTGCAATATTAGGCTTACTTCTGCTTACTACTCACACTAGATCTAAGCTATTCAGGGTTGACTAACTGGGTGATACCAAAAGCCCCAGAAGCTAATTATGATTTAGGTTGGACCAAAAATAAACTAGAATTTACATAACAATAGGATACATCCAACCATCCACCAACCTTGGATTTTCTTCAAGATATGTGTGATAAAGCGCCATCTAGGATTCAGATCCCATATTGCTTGAAGGTATCTTTCTTACAATGAAAATTTTGGGGAGGGCTGATGAGGATGGGAGCTGATCAGGGAATAAGGTTTTGGATTGTTGAAGGGAGGTATTTGGCATGACAGTGCTATCAACTTGTGTGAGGGAGGTTTAGCAAGCGAGGAGAGGACTTTAAAGGCGGTGGATGAGAGAGCTGAAGGTTTTTTTTCTTTTTACAAAAGCGGATGTTTAATACATGGTTTCTATTTTTGGTCTTAAACCAAATATCTAATACATCTTGGAGATATTCAACAAGTGTACAGAAAAATAGGTTAAATACAAGACAATGTACAAGGTTGAAAGCATCATAATTCAATTATTCAAAAGTATATACAATGTGAAACAGAGCCTCCCCAAGTATGCCTTCGATGTTGGTAGAAACAATCAGCTCATAATTATCATTTTATGTAATTTTGTACAAACCATTGTCACCATGAACGTTATATGTGCGAGTCGTGGTTTGATTGTACAAAACTTCTCCTCACAAAAATTATAGGGCAACCCGCAACCTTCTCAGCAAATCAGCTCGCGGTAGAACGAAATTGGTAACTGCGGTACATATGCTTTTAACATAAGAACTACAATTATATTCTACCTACCTACTAGTAGATTAGGCCATTTATCCCACATTAGGTAGTTTATATTACTTTACAGGTTATAAATTTGTGCATTAAGTTGCTTGGAACATAGAGCAGAGTCTGGTAACCAATAGATTATTCTATTGACACTTCTTTGTGGCTGTATCCATGATTTACTTTGGTGGTTGTTTCTGTTTTAGGACATATCTATAGTTTGTCGGTTGCTTCATTTTCCTCGTGTTTGTCGTTATGTTCTTTTCCGATAACCTTTCACTTTGTTGATGCCTGCTACACGCCAAAAAAGAACACTCTCATGCATGTGGTCGGTGGATAAGCTAATGGTATTAGCATGTGCAATATTACGCTTACGTCTGCTCGCTACTCACACTAGATCTTAGCTATTCGGGGTTGACTTACTGAGTGATACCAAAAGCTATAGGAGCTAATTATGATTTAGGAAGGACTAAAAATAAACTAGAATTTACATAAAGAATAGGATACATCCGGCCATCCTCTAGCCTTGGATTTCTTTCAAGATATGTGTGATGAAGCGCCATCTAGGATTCAGATCTCATATTTCTTGAAGGTAGGTGCTTC